CAAGCCAATGTTTTGTTTGTTTATTAGGTGACCTGGCAGGAGGTACTATTTAACTAGTTGGCCAAGGAAACTATGACCAGTAGCTCAAACATTTTGGAAAGGAAAAAAGTAAAGACAGACATCCGCATCAGGAGTTGACTGCTCAGTAACAGTGAAATATGTATTTTCAGAGCCAACATGCCCAATTTTTTTCCTTAGTTGGAATGTGGGAGAAATTGCATCTCATCATCCAAATATTCATCCATGAGGTGATGGTAGGGAAGGACCAAGCAACTGTCACTCCAGAAGTAAGGCAACCTTGTGGTGTTGGGATTTTTTGCCTCTATGTATCTTTACAGTGTGTTAACTTTTTAGGAGGAATGTTTGGCTTCTGTCAGTATGGCACAGTTTGAACTATGTCAACATAATGCCCCCCTGGCATCAGAAGCATGTACCACATCCAAACACATACACAAAGATGTTGTCAGAGCAAGTGTTGCAAGTTGTCTGCCAACTAAATCAACTGAATGCAGGCCCAGAGTGAATGCGTATTGTAGAAAAATACACACACACAATTTGCCATCAGCTTCATCTTGTAGACCTCACCCCTCCTCTTTCTGTATATACACACTTATTTACCATCAGCACCCTCTTGTAGACCTCACCCTTCCATAAAAACTATGGCATGGTTGTCTAAACAGCAACATGAACATGCAAACTCCTTCTGCTCATCTTTTCGTTATTTTAAAATCACGAGCTCTCCAATTATTGCCATTGTGCAAGCAAAATAGGTGGGAATGGATAGAGATATAGAAGCATAATGCACTATTGCCCTTTGGGGCCAAACCAACTCAGTATATTGGCAGATAACTCATTGCTGGGACTGGAGTGAATATCTTCTTTGTTGAAAAGAAGCCTATATGCTAATTGCCTAAATGAAGAGAATAATTTATGCGTGGAACATTCTACACAACTCTACTCTCTAAAATGGAACAGTCACAGAAGGGTTCTATAGTATAAGTATTGTGAAAGTTTAGATGAACCCTACAAAGATAATTGTGATTTCCGGTGTACAGTTCATGTTTATCCCATTAGATCACAAGAGCAGCAGTTTTTTCAAAAAATGGAAATACAAGGCATTTCAATACCAAGTTTTCAGAAACCTGATCTGCGTGCACACACAAATTCAATTTTACTTGCTTTCTTCATAATATAACAGCCGGTTGTTCCAGTTTATTAATGTAATAAACCATCATGATTCCCAGAAGCAAGAGCTTGTAGTTTCTTAACTTCCTTTGGGGTTAGGTTGAAATAAGTTTGTGGTGTTGGATTCCTGCTGCTTCAAATTGTTTAGGAAAAAAAGATTGTTTACAGGCAGCCACACATTTTGGCTATTTCTTCCAATATTAAGTTATATAATGCAAAGATACGATGAGTCTCAAATATTCTCCTAGTGCAACTTCCACATGCCCTTCATAATGAATACCCTGTGAAGAAAGAAGATACTACGAAATCTAGCCTGTGAATGCTTCATCTCTTTCCCAGTTGTCTTTGCTGGTCCCCAGGAGTGCTATTGTCAGACATTTGCTGAAACTCCAACGTTGGTGAAGGGTATGCGATACCCAACCATGTTGCCTGTCTTATTCTGCACATAATACCTTGGGAGGACAGAGGCAGCAGAAGATGTAATATCATCCTAATTATTATACATGTTTCTACCCAGTAAGCCAATGATTGCAACAATATTGGTTCTCTCTTTCAGCTTTATCACACTTGGGTATCCCTAGAGCCAAGAAAACAATCCAGCTGGGACAAAATCTTGCAGAACAGGAAACTAATGCTATCCTGTAACCACCAACCATACCATAAATGCTGTTCAGACTGGTAATTGTGGAAATTTCCAAACATCGCAGAGATTAGCCTGCTTCAATATTTCACCATCATCTTTACTGGAAGAGAGATACTTACAAATTCCTAGATCAACAAGAGCAGGTTGGGCAAATTTTATGAAGACTCACCCTAAGTTTAGTGAATGGGATTTGGTAATGACTTAGAAGCTGACTGTTGAACTGTCATTTACATGTATGTATGTATGTATGTATGTATGTATGTCTGTGTGTGTGTAAACTCCCAATGAAGCAACTACAGTGGAACCTCAACTTAAGAGCATCCCAACTTAAGAGCATTTTGAGTAAAGAACTGTCACTCAATCCCAAGTTTCACTTTGACATAAGAGAAGCATTTTGAGATAAGAGCTAGCACCAGAGGAAGTGCCAGCATGACAGTATAGGCTTTGGGGCTTTATGGGGGCAGCCTCTGTATCTCATGCTCGTCTGATTTGGGACATTGCTGTCTGCTTTTGCTCTTGTCTGCTTTGAGGAACTTTGAGTTAGTTGGTTTTGTATTGTTTTTATTCCTGGTATGTTTGGCTTCATAGAGGGAGAGAGGGACAGAGAGCAAGAGAGGGAGGGAAGCTGGAATGAGTTGTTTGAAGAAAAGGATGCTTCTGCCTCTTTTCTTTGTGCTTCTACCATTGTGCCACAACTTTGTGCTGCTACCATTTTAAAGTTGATCTTACTTTTTTATTGTTCCATTTGAACGTGCATTTATACATTATGTGTTATTAATAATTGAGAAATTTGCTTTGAGACAAGAGCATTTGAGTTAAGAGCTTGGTCAAGGAAAGAATTAAACTCTTAAGAAAGAGTATCACTGTATTTGAAAAAAAAGACAAGAGTTGATTCTCAACGTAAGGTATTTATGAACTATTATTATCAATATTTAAGGATAGAAAAACAGACACAAACTTGTGAAGGGCCATTTTTAAAGGGCGACTGTAAAATATTAGAAGGCTGATAGCTATACTACAGCCAGCTTAACTGCCATGTAGTAACATGCCATCAACTGAGCAGGCTTCTCATTCTGAAATGACAGCGAAAACCTGTCATAACTCAACCAGTGGAATTCAATCCAAGTAGAGTCAGACTTGGAGAAGCTGCTGATTCCAGAGAAGAGCTCCCATCAAGAGACTGAGCAGCTAAGGGAAGTTAACAGCTGATGAAGACCTTCAGCATGATGGGCTCCCACTTCAGTCAGAACTAACGGACATTGTGGAGATGCCCTGTCATTCACAACATGTCAAGAAAAATAGAAGAACCAAAACCACCGATGTCTCTTGCAGAAGATGAAATGGTAAATGCTGGGGAATTAGCCATTCAGTGTGTCCCGTCAAGCCTCTATAAATATCCCAGTGCTGAGGGGGGTTCTTCATCCATGCAGCTGTTCAATTAACTAGATTATTTTGTGCTAACTTTTGATTACTGGAAATTAAATTTTTATATACCATGTTTTTCAATTCTAAGACATCATTGCTTGTAACACACACACAAATTCCATTACCACCACCAGAATTTTTTTTGATTATATAAAAATACATTTCATAGAATATCTTTTAGAATTTCTTCTGCATACACAACAACTTTTTGTCTCAGTGTGGCTTTGTAGTGCAATCTTATTGACAGAATTTGAATATGCAATAAGAAACCAAAATGAATAAAATACTTTTTATGTAGGTAGTTTCGGAGATACAACCAAAACTTCCTAATTGTCACTGAGTTAGCACCAGTATAATGATATAACAGTGGGGAAACACTTGAAAAATGTGCCATTTTATTCTACAATGGAATAGCGAGAGCAAAATGGAGCCATAATGATCCAACTTGGAGGTTTCTGCATAAAAACAAAATGCTGGTGCCATATGTGCAAAAAGAAAATGGAAAAAAGAGTGATTCTAAGACTCAGCTTGTTTTTAGAGATGTTTATATGAGGGAAAGTGTGTCTTAGAAATTGGCATTACCTCTAAACAAGATATATAGAGCAGTGTTTCTCAAACTGTGCTCCTCTAGGTGTTTTGGACTTCAGCTCCCAGAAATCCCAGCGTTTTCAGGCTGTTGGGAATTGTGAGAGCTGAAGTCCAAAACATCTAGAGGAACACAGTTCGAGACACTCTGATATAGAGGACTGTGCTATAAGTATGTCTTTCATTTAACCAGCCAGTCACATTTCTGGATGGGCCCCAGTGTGATTATGATGATGGTCACAAGCACTGGGCTTAATCCACCGCAGTACTCTATTGGTGTCCACATGGTCAGGATGAGAATGCATCATCCTCTGCTGGACCATCACGTTGCTCCTCAGGTCACCACTGCTGCCACTCCTAGCCTGCTATAAAGCTCTCTGCAAGCATCTGGCTGTTGAGTCTGTAATGTTATAATGGGGTGCCTGAGCAACCAGTTAGAAGGTTCTTCTCCTCCTCGCTGGTATGTTATGGCATCATAAATGTGACTATGAGGAACAGTTGTTTGCAGAAACTCTGTGACCAGGTGGGAGTGGCGAGGGCAGTGTCCATTTGGAAAGTGCATCAGGCTGAATAGGATCCAACCTAACTGTCTAGACTGCTATGAAAGTCTCAGGATACCTGAGAATTTCCAGAAAGCTTTGGAAAGTCTTCTGTAGTAGGAAAACCCATAATACTAACTGGTATTCAGCATACATCATGGGGGCAGCCAAATTTAAATTGAATCCAGTTTTTTGCCTGTGTAGACTCACCCTTGGTGGAAGGACCTGTAATACTATTTCATACAGTCTTCATCCTATGTAATTCTGTGTACAGCTGCAGTCCTACATATTATCTCTAAGCAAGGCATAGAAAGGATTGTGCTACAAGTGTGTTTTTCATTTTACCAGCCAAATATATCTCTACAATTTCAAAAGGCAAGGTCAGCAGTTTGATATCCGGAGAGCGAGGTGCCCTTCCGTTGATAGCCCCAGCTTCTGCCAATCTAGCAGTTCAAAAATGTGCAGATGTGAGTAGATCAAGAGGTACTACTTCAATGGGAAGGTAATGGTGTTACATTCAGTCATGCTGGCCACATGAACTTGGAGGTGTCTACGGACAACATCGGCTCTTTGGCTTAGAAACGGAGATGAGCACCACCTTCCAGAGACAGACTTGACTAGACTTCTTGTCAAGGGAAAACCTTTACCTTTACTAATATATGAAAAGATTGCAATCAGGGTGATTTCTGACCAATTAATTCTTAACATTAAAAGATATAGTTATTACATTTTCACTTGGAAGCCAAATGCTTACAAACACACAATGATTTAAAAAAATAAATAAAATAACATTTTAAGGCATGCCACATCATAATGATGTGAGAGTATCAAACCTTGCCAGTATACATTAGAGAGAGGGAGAAAAGTAGTGATGATCTAAGTTTGATCCATTAACCTGTAATGCCAAGATGTTAAATGCCAACCAAATCCCCCTCAATTAAAATACAACATTTCTAACAACAGAAGGCAACCCCAAAAGTTACATAATGAAATTTGGCTTGCTGGAGTTCACTCTGTCAATATCTTCGGGCAATAGGACATTAAAAAAAACTCAGTATGAATATAAGCAGGACACAATTCCACTTCAGGCAAAGAGCAAGAAAAGTATCATAAAAATAAAAATTCAAATTGCATATGAATATTTTGTAGCCTGTTAAACAGGTGTAAGAAATCAGTCCAGGAGCTCCAGTGCTGTAATTCTTTAGCAACTTTGCATTATGTGATAATTTAAGAGGAGTGTTTTGAATGTTCATTGTATAAGCAACATGAAGCCCTTTGGTAGAGAAGAACGTAACAGAGGAGTCTAAAACCAAAAGTGTTTAAAATGGACTGGCAATGTATAAAGAAGAAAGGCAGCAAAATGTTTTTTTCCCCGCTCATTATATTGCATATATATAGATCCATAAAAAATGATTTTTAGAACAAACAGGCATTTCCTCTGCTAGAGACATGCTTATCTTTTGTGCAAAGTCTTTGTTTCATTCAACCAGAGTTAAGGCATGAACAATGTGAATGTTTCCAATAATGATTTCAGATGATTCTTCCCTTTTGGTCACTGTTGACCTTTCTACCTCCACAGTATTTTTCACTGTCAGTTGGAAGCATCTAAATGCTCTTGTCGGGTAAGAAGAGATTTCCCGCTGGGAACCGGTGAGCCCATGCGCAGCTCTGTCACGGTCTCTAGCAGTGTTTTCCTTTCCAGTTCCAGAGTGAGGATTGTCTGCTTCTGCTTGCTTTCATTATTCAGCAATATCTCGATCATGGCCTCTAGGTTTTGGATCTTGTCATTTGCCACCTTAGTGAACAAAACAGGAAATGCAAGGACAATGTTTGTGAAGGAGGAAGGAACATATGCACTGCTCACTCAGCATATTTTCATACTTCAAACTAAACGGAACACATTGAGTAACTGAGTGCTGAAATAAGACCTTTGATCTCATTCATCAATTAACATGTATACAGTCAGTTTGGGAATTCTATCTTGCATGCATAAAAACCCCAAATGAACACTGGGGAACTACAGAAGCTGCAAGCACCCCCCATCCATGCGCAATTCTATGACATAGGAAATAATTGAGCCAAAATCTCTCCACCCCTGGTACCAATTGCTCAAGTTCAAACAAATTACATTCAATATTAAATCTGATTTTCTTTCTAACATATTCTCCCATCCCTCTCAAATCTTGTTTATTTAACATCTAAAACTGTGTTTCTCAACCTGGGGGTCTGGACCTATGGAGGGGGGGTCACAAGGAGGTTTCAGAGGGGTCACCAAAGACCATAACAAAAAAAATTCTTTCTGATGGTCTTAGGAATCCCTTTGGCAGAGAAGGCTGAAGATGTTTCCGCCTGTCCTTCTCTTCCTTCTTGGAAATAGGTGGTGAATCCTCCCACCAAAAGCCCTCCTCCACTGTGATTGGCCAGCCTCTCAAGGGGAAGGCTGTTTCTGAGACTCCAAGCAGGGAGGGGAGAACAGGCATGCTCTATCCATGGCAGTGTTGTGCGCATGTGCAGGCGAGGGAGATTGTCCAAGACTGGAGGGAGGCTTGCGCCTGCGAGTCCCTTCAAGGCATGGGGGTTCTGTGTGGGAAGTTTGGCCCAATTCTATCATTGGTGGGGTTCACAATGCTCTTTGATTGTAGGCGAACTATAAATTACAGCAACTACAACTAGCAAATGTCAAGGTCTATTTTCCCCAAACTCCACCAGTGTCCACCGGCGACTTGGAAGGCGCTGAACAGACTACGCTCTGGCACCACGAGATGCAGAGCCAATCTTAAGAAATGGGGCTACAAAGTTGAATCAACGACATGCGAGTGTGGAGAAGAGCAAACCACTGACCACTTGCTGCAATGCAACCTGAGCCCTGCCACATGCACGATGGAGGACCTTCTTGCGGCAACACCAGAGGCACTCCAAGTGGCCAGATACTGGTCAAAGGACATTTAATCAGCTACCAAGTTTGCAAAAATTGTGGGTTTTTTATCTGTTTGTTTGTTTTGTTCTGTTAGAAATGTAATACAATGTTCTGGTTGCGGATGACACGATAAATAAAATACCAGTGTTCACATTTGGGCATATTGAGTATTCGTGCCAAGTTTGATCCAGATCTATCATTGGTTGGGTCCACAGTGCTCTCTGGATGTAGGTGAACTACAACTCCAAAACTCAAGGTCAATACCGACCAAACCCTTCCAGTATTTTCTATAGTTCATGGGAGTTCTGTGTGCTAAGTCTGGCTCAATTCCATCATTGATGGAGTTCAGAATGCTATTTGGTTGTAGGTGAACTATAAATCCCAGCAACTACAACTCCCAAATATCAAAATCAATCCCACCCCGAAACCCCACCACTATTCAGATTTATGCATATTGGGTATTTGTGCCAAATTTGGTCCAGTGAATGAAAATTCACCCTGCATATCAGATATTTACATTATGATTCATAACAGAAGCAAAATTACCGTTATGAAGTAGCAATGAAAATAATTTTATGGTTGGGGATCATCATAACATGAGGAGCTGTATTAAGGGGTCATGGCATTAGGAAGGTTGAGAACCACTGATCTAAAACAACTTGCACCTATATAACATAGTAGAGTATAAAATCACAAAAACAAATAAATCTATGCCAGGTTGAGTAACAGGCATTTATGTTGTTAGCCAAGACATTTTAATTAAGTGGCGTTATTCACCCAGAACTACATTAAGTATGAACTGTGAGATAAGGACATATGAATCATAACTCAGACGAAACATTATGTCTGAAAGAAACTGAGAAATTTGTTTTCTTGCCTAACATTCTTTACAAGCTTTCACTTTAGAACATTAACCTGCATGATGTGGGGTTTTCCCTATTTTTTTTCCAGTGTTCAGTTATGATCTCAAGGTAGAATACATCCAAAATAGGAAATAACAGACACATAACTGCTTTGCATATACTTTGAGCAGCAATTTGCATGTACTTTGAGCAGTGATTTCAGAGACCTCGACTGATGTCATAACATAAAAACTGTTGACTGAGGGGCTTATAAAAATATTCCCTTAACCTTGGCTTCGTTCTACACATGCTCTGGGCTGGTCAAACACCTATGGGCTCCATTTTTGTTTTAAGTCATTAAAATGTTTTTGAAATTGCATACAGTTTACTGATTTATTTTGGTTCAACGTTGTGTTTTTGACCATTATGCCACTCTGGTTAACCTTTCCCCTTGTCGTGCAGAAGAGAAAACCTTCCTCATCACTACACAGAGAGAAAGCAGCCTTCTCAGAACACCTTGAGTTTCAAGGACCCAACTTATATGTCCTATTGATCTTTACATGTATTGAAGTAATTATAGGTTAATTCAAAAACAAATCAACAGCAACGCCGCAGAAAACTCTGTGATAGGGTCACCTTAGGGTGGCATTAATTCGAAAATGATCTGATGGCACACAGCAACAATGCCAGCATTACTACAGTTGTGACTCTGGATCAGAGTGTCAAAGATTGCATTTACACGGAGACAGTTTTACACCACTGTCATGAGTCAATGCATTGGAATTCCAGTTTTACATGGCCTTTAGTCTTTTCTGCAATGGAGTGCTGGTGTTTCACCAAACAACAACTCCCATGATTCCATAGCACTGAGGCCGGACAGTTAAAGTGGGTGTTAAGCTGTATTAATTCTACCATATTAGTGCACCCTGAGGATAAAACAGCCTGGGAATGCAGTGGCATTTTGAAAAACAGTCCCCTCTCGAGTAACCGAGCTAAACCAGCTCCTTGGTTCACCGAGGAGCTGGCAGCGATGAAGCGAAGGAAGAGGGTTCTAGAGAGCGTGTGGCGCTCAGACCCAAGCGAGCCAAACCGAACACGGTTTGTGTCCTTTCTAAGGGCATATGCCGC